AGGTTGGATGGAGTTTGGGATTGTCCTGGGAAAGGTTGGATGGGGCTTGGAGAAACCTGGAATGCTCCAGGGAAAGGCTGGACCGGGTTTGGAGCAATTTGCGATTGTCCAGAAAAAGGTGGGAGCAATTTGGGATGGTCCAGGGAAAAATTGGATGGGACTTGGGATAGTCCAGGGAAAGGTTGGGTGGGGTTTGGAGCAACCTGGGATTGGCCAGGGAAAGGTTGGATGGGATTTGGAGAAATTTGGGATGGTCCAGGGAAAGGTTGGACAGGGCTTGGAGGAATTTGGGATTTTCCAGGAAAGGTTGGATGGGGTTTGGAGGAACCTGGGATGGTCCGGGGAAAGGTTGGATGGGGTTCGGAGCAATTTCGAATGGTCCTGGGAAAGGCTGGATGGGATTTGGAGCAATTTGGGATAGTGGGATAGCTGGGGATGGAATGGGATGATCCTAAAGGTCCCTTCCCACCCAAACCATCCCGGRATTCTGTGATTCATGGGATTGTGATTCCCGGGATTCTCTGATTCCTGGGATTCTGATTCTTGGGATTCTGTGACTCTTGGGATTCTGCCTCTGTGCTCTCCGACCTCTCCYGAGCCTACGGATCCGCCGGGGAAGGACCCCAGAGCCACCGGCATCCCGATATATCCTGAACATCCCAAAAATCCCAAATATCCCAGCGCATCCCAAACATCCCAACACATCCTGAACATCCCGAATATCTCAAGCATCCCAAACACATCCCAAGCACCCCGATGCATCCCAATGGATCCTGATCATCCCAAGCATCCTGAACATCCTGACACATCCCAACCCATCCTGGTATATCCCGAGCATCCCAAACATCCTGAACATCCTGACACATCCCAACCCATCCTGGTATATCCCGAGCATCCCAAACATCCTGAACATCCTGACACATCCTGAACATCCCTATCATCCCAAGTATCCTGAACATCCTAAACATGCCGAACACATCCCGAACACCCCCAGCATCCCAAACACTCCGAACATCCCAACGCATCCTGAATATCCCGAGCACCCTGACGCATCCCAACCCATCCCAAGCATCCCGAGCATCCTGAACATCCYGATCCATCCTGGCGCATCCCAATGCACCCTGAATATCYCAATGCATCCTGACCCATCCCAAGCATCCTGAACATCCCATCCTGAAAATCCTGACACATCCCGATCATCCCGAACATCCTGACGCATCCCAAATATCCCAACGCATCCCGACACATCCTGAACATCCTGAACATCCTGGCACATCCCGAGAATACTGACACATCCCGAGCATCCCGAGCATCCCATCCTGAAAATCCTGACATGTCCCAAGCATACCAAACATCCCAGTGCATCCCAAACATCCTGAACATCCCAAGCATCCCGATCATCCTGATGTATCCCAAACACATCCCTAGCATCCCGAACATCCCGAGAATCCYGATCATCCCGAGGATCCCAGCACATCCCGAACTTCCTGACCATCCCGAATATCCCGATACATCCTGAACATCCCGACGCACTTCAAACATCCCAAYGCATCCCGACATATCCTAAAAATTCCAAGCATCCCTACGCATCTTGAACATCCCAACACATCCTGACGCATTGCAAACATCCCGAGCATCCTGAACATCCTGACGCATCCCGAGCACCCTCAACATCCTGGACATTCCAAACATCCCATCCTGAACATCCCAAACATCCCATCTGAACATCCTGATGCATCCCAAACATCCTGAGAATCCCAAACATCCCGACCCATCCCGAACATCCAAACATATCCTGACTCATCCTGAACATCCCAAACATCCCGAGGATCCCAGTGCATCCCAAACATCCTGAACATCCCAAATATTCCGACACATCCTGAATATCCCAATATATCCCAACACATCCTGAACATTCCGAGCATCCTGAATACATCCCGAATATCACGAACATCCTGAACATCCCGATGCACCCTAGCGCATCCCGAACGTCCCAAATATCCTGAATATCCTGACACATCCCGAACATCCCAACGCATCCCAATCATCCTTAACATCCCAAATATCCCATCCTGAACATCCTGACATGTCCCGAGCACCCTGAACATCCTGACACATCCCAAATATCCCAACATATCCTGACACATCCTGAACATCCCGAACATCCCGAGTGTCCCGAGCATCCCGAAGATCCTATCCTGAAAATCCTGACACGTCCCAAGCATCCCGATCATCCTGACGCATCCCAAACATCCCAATGCATCACAACACATCCTGAAAATTCCAAGCATCCTGAACATCTCTACGCATCCCAAACATCCTGGCACATCCCAATGCACCCCAAACATCCCAACGCATCCTGACACATCCCGAACATCCCAACGCATCCCAATCATCCTTAACATCCCAAATATCCCATCCTGAAAATCCTGACACGTCCCAARCATCCCRATCATCCCGATGCATTCCAAACATCCCAATGCATCACGACACATCCTGAAAATTCCAAGCATCCTGAACATCTCTACGCATYCCAAACATCCTGAGAATCCCAAACATCCTGGCACATCCCRAGCATCCCAAACAYCCCAAACATCCTGAACATCCCAATCCATCCCGAACATCCCAACCCACCTCGTACATCCCAAACATCCCGACCCAGCCCAAACATCCCAATGCATCCTGACCCATCCTGAAAATTCCGAGCATCCCAAATATCTCTACCCATCCTGAACATCCCAACACATCCTGACCCATCCCAATCATCCCGACGCATCTCGAACATCCCGAACATCCCGATCATTGTGACGCATCCCAAACATCCCGAATATCCCGATTATCCCGACCCATCCCCAACATCCAGACACATCCAGATGCATCCTGAACATCCCGAGTATCCTGAACATCCCGAGTATCCTGAACATCCCAAACATCCCAAACATCCTGATGCATCCCGAATATCCCGTTTATCCCGACCCATCCCCAACATCCAGACACATCCAGATGCATCCTGAACATCCCGAGTATCCTGAACATCCCAAACATCCCAAACATCCTGATGCATCCCGAACATCCTGAGAATCCTGAGCATTCTGACACATCCTGATGCATCCCGAATATCCCTATGCATCCCAAAATCCCAAACATCCTGAGAATCCCAAACATCCTGACACATCCCGAACATCCCAAGAATCCTGAGGATTATGACACATCCTGACACATCCCGAATATCCTGATGCATCCCAAACATCCCAAACATCCTGAGCATCCTGGCACATCCTAATCATCCCAAACATCCTGAACATCCCAAACATCCCGACCCAGCCCAAACATCCCAATGCATCCCGACACATCCTGAAAATTCCGAGCATCCCAAATATCTCTACCTATCCTGAACATCCCAACACATCCTGACCCATCCCAATCATCCCAACACATCTCGAACATCCTGAAAATCGCGATCATCTTGACGCATCCCAAACATTCTGAATATCCCGATTATCCCGACCCATCCCCAACATCCCGGCACATCCCAAACATCCAGAACATTCTGAATATCCTGAACATCCCAAACATCCTGAACATCCTGACGCATCCCGAACATCCCAAGAATCCTGAGCATTCTGACACATCCCAACGCATCCCGAATATCCCAATGCATCCCAAACATCCTGAGAATCCCAAACATCCTGACGCATCCTGAACATCCCGAGAATCCTGAGCATTCTGACACATCTTGGCACATCCCAAACATCCCAAACATCCTGAACAGCCCGAATATCCCGACACATCCTGAATATCCCAACACATCCTGAATATCCCAACATATCCCAACGCATCCTGATCATCCCAAGCATCCTGAGGATCCCAACGCATCCTAAACATCCTGAACATCCCGAAAACCCCGAATATCCCAATGCACCTCAAACATCCCAATGCATCCCRACACATCCTGAAAATTCCGAGCATCCCAAATATCTCTACACATCCTGAACATCCCAACACATCCCAAACATCCTGAACATCCCAACRCATCTCGAACATCCTGAAAATCCTGACACATCCTGACACAACCCGAATATCCYGAGGATCCCAGCGCATCCCAAACATCCTGAACATCCCGAATATCCCGATGCACCTCAAACATCCCAACACATTGCRGCATATMCTAAAAATTCCAAGCATCCCAAACATCTCTATGCATCCTGAACATCCCAAACATCCTGAACATCCCRAAAATCCTGACACATCCWGACACATCCCGAATATCCCGAGGATCCCAGCGCATCCCAAACATCCTGAACATCCTGAATATCCCGAACATCCTGAATATCCCAACATATCCCAACGCATCCTGATCATCCCAAGCATCCTGAGGATCCCAGCGCATCCTGAACATCCTGAACATCCCGAACATCCCAAAAATCCCAACCCACCCCGATCATCCCAACCCACCCCGTACATCCCGAACATCCCGAAAATCCCAACCCACCCCAATCCATCCCAAACATCCCAACCCACCCCGTACATCCCGAACATCCCGAAAATCCCAACCCACCCCAATCCATCCCAAACATCCCAACCCATCCCGAACATCCCGACCCCGCTCTCCCGGTGCTCTCACCTTCTCCTGGAGGCGCTCCAGCATGGCCGCCAGGTGAGCTTCGCGGTTCTCCTTGTTGGACTCCATCTTGTGCTCCAGCCTCTCCTTGGCTGCCTTGATGAAGTTGTTGTTCTCCTCGATGGCCTTCTGGATCACCTCCCGCTCGTGCTCCCGCTTTTCCGCCAGGTGCTTCAGCAGCTCCGCCTCCTGGTACTGGGGACACCGCAGGGACATGATGAACCCACCCCTTCCCGACCCCAAAAAAAAAAAAAAATGGGGTGGGGAGGGATTTATTTAAGGTCAAACCCACCTTCCTCCTCTCCTCCGCCGCTTCCAGCTTCTTCTGGATCTCCTCCAAGGAAGGGTCGCGGCGCCGGGGAAGGGACGCATTGAATTCGGGAATTCCGTCGAAGGAGGGCGGCTTCAGGATGACCTCGAAGGATTGGCCCGAGGTCCGTTTGTTGAGCTCGATCACCTCCATGTCCGAGATCACGCACCACGTCAGGTCCACCGTGTCTGGGGTGAGGGGGGAAAAAAGGGATGAGTGCTGGGAATTCCCATCCTAAAATTTGGGAATTCCCCTGCGGGACCTCGCTGTTCCCGTTATTTGAGTTTCACCCGGGTTTGGACCCAAATGGATCCTTGGGGTGCAGGGATGGACTGGGATGGGGTTGGAATTCTGGGATTCCCGTGTATGGGGTGGAGATGGAGATATTAGGGAGAGATGAGAGATTTGGGAATATCCCCATCTTTCCCTATTTTGGGATTTGTGAATGGGATCAGGATTCCTTTTCAAGGAAGGATCATCCTGGATAAGCTGAACCCAAAACAGTGGATATGGGATGAGGGGATAAAGGGCTGCCGGATCCCACCCCATTCATGGATTGGGATTATCGAGCTGGGAATGTTTGGGGTAGCTGAAGGGGCTGGGAATGTCCCTGTCTCTCCATGTTTTGGGATTTCAGAATGGGATCGGGGTCATTTTTCCAGGGTAGATCCCCCCAGATAACCTGGAGGAGCTCCCATGATCCTCTGGACACGGGTTGGGATAAATCGCCCAGAACCCAAAAATACAGATATGGGATGAGGGGATAAAGGGCTGCTGGATCCCAACCCATCCATGGGGCTGAGCTGGGAATTTTGGGGAAGCAGAGGGGCTGGGAATGTCCCCTAATCCTGATTTTGGGATTTGGGAATGGGTTTGGGATCCCTTTTCCAGGGTAAATCCTTCTGGATAAGCTGAACCCAAAAATGTGGATATGGGATGAGGGGATAAAGGGCTGGTGGATCCCACCCCATCCATGGGGCCGAGCAGAGAATGTTTGGGAGAGCTGAGAGAGTTGGGAATTTCCCATCTCTCCCGGTTTTGGGATTTGGGAATGGGACCGGGATCCCTTTTCCAGCAGGGATCCTCCTGGATAACCTGGAGGAATTCCCAAAGATCTTCTGGGATAAATCACCCGGAATCCAAAAACACAGATATGGGATGAAGGGATAAAGGGCTGATGGATCCCAACCCATCCATGGGGCTGAGCTGGGAATATTGGGGAAGCAGAGGGGGCTGGGAATGTCCCCAATCCTCATTTTGGAATTTGGGAATGGGATTGGGATCCCTTTTCCGGGGTAAATCCTCCTGGATAATCCTCTGGACATGGATTGGGATAAATCACCCAGAACCCAAAAATACAGATATGGGATGAGGGGATAAAGGGCTGCTGGATCCCATCCCATCCATGGGGCCGAGATGGGAATGTTTGGGAGAGCTGAGGGATTTGGCAATTTCCTGTCTCTCCCTATTTTGGGATTTCGGAATGGAATTGGGAAGCTTTTTCCAGGATAAGTCCTCCTGGATAACCTGGAGAAGTTCCCAAAGATCTTCTGGGATAAATCACCCGGAACCCAAAAACACAGATATAGGATGAAGGGATAAAGGGCTGCCAGATCCCAACCCATCTATGGGACCGAGCTGGGAATGTTTGGGGGAGCAGAGAGAGTTGGAAATTTCCCGTCTCTCCCTTTTTTGTGATTTGGGATCAGGATCCTTTTTCGAGGTTAAATCCTCCTGGATAAGCTGAACCCAAAAACACGGATATGGGATGAGGGGATAAAGGGTTCCTGGATCCCACCCCATCCATGGGAATGTTTGGGAGAGTGGAGTGTTGGGAATGTTCCTGTTTCTCCCTGTTTTGGGATTTGGGAATGGGATCGGGATCCCTTTTCCAGGGTAAATCCTCCTGGATAAATCACCTGGAACCCAAAAACACGGATATGGGATGAGGGATAAAGGGCTGATGGATCCCATCCCATCCATGGGGCCAAGCTGGGAACATTTTGGGGGTGCTGAGGGGTTGGGAATGTCCCCCAATCCTGATTTTGGGATTTGGGAATGGGATCRGGATCCTTTTTTTCAGTGGGAATCATCCTTGATAACCTGGAGGAGCTCCCAAAGGTCTTCTGGGATAAATCACCCGGAACCCAAAAACATGG